TATATATATATATATATTCGTATTTGTTTCTCAATATTTAAGGTATATAGCGGCACCGTACAACGTATATTGTGTATTACGCCTAATCCTGTAGTAATCGAAGATATTTTGTTCCGGTATCGACATTCAGATTCAAACTGGCACGAAACTGGATCCATTCTCTATCAAGCGCATTTCGAAGTACGCTCGGATTGTCGACTCTTAATCCGTTTCTCTGATAACAATTATATCAAAAATCAAACCGAGGAATCTCTAGTATTCTGACGTAAACTAATCGTCGATCATCCAAAATTGCACATATTCATACGAATGAAAAGAATCGAAAATAATGCGGGCAGTTCGCGAACTTGTTTGTTGGCGACCGATGCCAACGATTCGTTGATTTTCAGTCTAAAGTTTTCAAAGCCTTCGGTTCATGATGAATTCCAGGATAGTGATAACATTGATTTACCGCAGCCCTTGAAACACTTGATTCTATCCTACGAGCTTACGGTCGACTCTCTTTCATGTATATTTGACATAATCGTGCGCGGGGAAATGGAACCCGTTCGCCCGAAAGATCCAAAGTACGAGTTTGGAGCTGAATGTACGAGGCTGGACCCCAGGTGTTGAGCCCTGTGCGGAAACCAAATCAAGTCGACACTGTCACCTGGGACGTGACGCGCGAGTTTTTACACCCGCTGGCGAGTTTCCATTTTACGTATCCCTTTCCCTATCTTTTGTCTCGTTTCCCTATCTGTCCTCATCGCCAAGCGACTTCCAATAGTTCCAATGTCCATCCCTCGAGGGCTATTCTTTGGACTCTCCGGCCGACATATTTGCGAACAACGAGACTATTTTCCTACCAATTTATCTTCCCTTTCATCATTCGCCTTCAAAAAAATTGACGAACATAAGCAAAGAGAATAATACGGTGAAAGCGCTTTTATGCGCTCGTTGATTGTAGTCCTCTCGGCCGGATGAGACCAAGAAAAGAAGGATAAAGCGGGAGTGAAAAAAAGCAAGAGAGGAGAAAAAGTATCGATATAAGATACCCCGCGGCCCTCGAAAAACGAGATATTTTTTTTCGCCCTGTATCTCCTTTCCATCCTCGGCCAGCCGATGATTATATACCAAATGAAGAGTATAGCTCGTGCGACGTTGCGACTACATCGAGACTATACTGATACTTATAATTGTATTTGCATATATATCTCGTATATATCTATGCTATTATATCGTAAATATACTATGACACCTATATGAGCTGTGTCATTGTCAGTGTGTGCAGTGCGCTTCTGGTTGCTATGAATCACGTCACGCTATATATTGTATATATTATGACTTCTCCGAGCGCGAGCGCGTGTTACGTGCACGCGCGCGCGTGTCCGCGGTATATATATATATATTATGTGTGTGTGTATGTGCGTGTGTATGTGTGCGTGTATATACATGCACACGTGCGTTTGTGCGCACGAAAAGCCTTTATTGTACTGTGTGTACTTCTCGGTGTGCATATGTGTGTGCGTAACACATGACCACGGGTCTATGTGCTTGCGCGTACACATCGTGATAACTCGCGCTCGTCGAGGCGCGATAGACTCCGAAATGGAGTGTTCCTCCTCGTACGAGCCCCTCTCGCTTCCATCACTTGTTGTTCACAACGCTACGCCGTTTTTTCCATTTTTTCTATTCTCT